ACCCCAACTCGGTGGTTTTGGAGTTGCAACAAAAACGATTATTAATAATACTATAATTTCATTAGTCACTTTCGACATCACCATTTCTATTAAAGTTGGTAGTAGACACATGCTCCCGCTAGGAGCCTATGTTTTTGTTCTTGAAGCTTAATAGTACCGTAAAAGGCAAGCATCTAAACTACTGTGTTAAGTCCATTCCAATAACTGGCTAGACACAATTAAAGTGTAATTGATTGATAATTGTGTCTAAATAGGTTGGGTAAATTTTAGGTTGCTTCTTCATAAACAAGACAAAATCAAGTGTACACAAGTTTTACCATCAAGAGGGACCTTCCAATCAAATCAAATCTACAGTGTGCACACGATTACATAAAATTTGATGTCATTAATCAATTAACATGCACATTAATTCTATTCTGCTTAATATTTTGGATTGTTCAATGTATTTTCAATTAAAATTTTTATGACTGCATTTCAACATAAGCTATACAAAAGTAAACAGTATAGAGACATCTTCTAATTATTGATGCGTAATAGACCAATTCGGTGATGTTTGTTTACTGCCGGTCACGTGACGTACGGTGGGTATACAGGTAACCATGGAAAACATTACAGTGCAATCAATGTAAAAGTATAGGAAAAGGTAGGCCTAATGTTATGGTTTCTAAAAGTAAAACAACCACCCACTGTTAACGTGAGAAATAAATAGCAAGGAAAGGCAATACAATTGTTCCAAATAGTGTTTATTTACTTTCTAGCTTTCTCCTTGCATTGTATGCCTTGAAAATTATGTGATTCATCGTAAACCTTAGCTAGCCTAGAAATCGTAACATAGTTTACGTGTCGAAGACTCTCATGCCTCAACCGCTGCACTAAACGTTTCTAAAGTATTTTGTATTGTAATGAACACAATAAAACAAAAATCAAAGATATCATTTCTTTTACTACAACTGCAACACCCTTCTGTAATTTTAATAAATAATCAGTAAATATATACTGTATTTTAACCAGGGAGGTACCCACTTACTCTACTAGGTGGAGAGAGCAAAACGTAGGTAAAGTGTCTTGTCTAAGGTCACATGCAAAATGAACAGGTGAGGGTTCGAACATACAACTTGAGGTTGAGAAACAGTACCATAAGCAATTGAGGGTTTGTACAGTATATTAAAATACAGTGCATCCTCAAATTTGAGACCCTCTAATTCGACACCACTTCCCAAAGCCCCAAATAACAATCTTCAACCTTTTAACACAAAGCTAGCCCTCTAATTGGAGTCCAATCCCGAGACCACCCCAAATTTTCTGGTCCCAAGGATAGTCTCGAATTGGAGGCAAACTGTACATACGACATTATGAGAGTGGCTTCAGCAGTTAAAAAACAAACTATGATTAACTAGGTAGAATGCTGGCCTTGTATGGGCAATATACGAGTCAAGACTGACTCTACTTGAGGAAGCAAATAAAAAAAGGGGCTGAGGTGCAACATGAGTTTCAACATGTCAAAAAAGTGAACTGAATGCAAATTTGCAATATAAACCACAGAAATGAATTTTGATGGTGACATCAACCATTAGCTATTTGAAACTGAATGATAATGATGATAAGAGTCTATGACAGCAACTGACCATCTGGTCAATAATGGCACAAATGGACTTTTCGTTATTCAGTCGTGACCAACCAAACCCAACCCATGCCAGAATGGGTTGGTTCAGTCCAACCCATGCTAGCATGGATTAATTACGGATTAATTGATTGATTAATGGACCACAGAAACAGAACTAAATGATAGCGTTATGATATGGACCTGTGGAAAAGAACTGTACGGCAATCGTGCCATAATATATCATAAGCCAGTGGAAAAGAACTGGCAGGAAGTTGTGTGCAGCCAGAATCACTTGTTCCGAGCAATACCTGGAAAACTTTTTTAATGTAAAAGTGAGAACTCAAATGGTGAGTGAACACAAAGACCAGAGAATTTAGATGCTTTATGAAACACAGATATTATAATTTATCGTCAGTCTTCAATCATTTAATGATAAACTAAGCTGAACTTGCCTAAGTCAAATCCAAAATGGCATTGAAAAATTGTTGAACTTAGAAAAAATTTGACTTACAGATTGTTAATTAATGGAAAACACTTCGGCATGTAAAATAAGATCGTCTTAGAAATTATTCAAGTTAGTCAAAGTCAACTTAAGCAAATTTACTGTACTGTTAACAAATGCATAAAGTTAATCTGGTTATCGGGTTAAAAAAATAGAAAACTAAGTAAAATAGGTGAAACTTACCAATGTTTCATGAACTAGATACTTATTCTCAAGTAAGCATTCATATCATTTTTTAAAAATGGCAACTACTTTACAGACTTGCTTTTCTTACGATACCCAGTGATTCTATCTCATCATACACTTTTTAATTTAAATGTACCAGTACATTTAAATATGACATGTCATAACAACAGAAAAAAATATCTTTCATGTTAAAGGTAATGAGGTTTACCTATAGAATATTGAGAGAATACATTAGTATTTCCAATCAGTATTACTCTGGGTATGCTCTGGGTATTCTCTGTGTATCTGGTATGCTCTAATATATTTTCTGTATATGCTCTATCTCATGATGAAAAAAACACCAAAATATAATTATAATACTATGACAGTAGCACCATTAAGATTTTTGACTGGCAATGAATCAGCATAAAAGTAGCCACTAAACTTGGTCTAAATACATCCAGTCTGGCAAGGATTGATATTTTGTAAAAAAATAAAAAAGAACAAAGCCGGTCAAAAAACTGGAAAAAGACTAGGCTAGCAACACTGACAGGCGGAAACATTACCTGGGCGCTAAAGTAAGAAGTTAAAACTTCAATGTGAAACAAGTTTTAAATATATTTGAGTGAAAGCATACCATTTCAGTATTAAACCAGTATGAAAACTGTATTAGGAGGTCTGTTGTCTAGTATATTAAATTCTATTTTTAAAGGATTTTGGTAAGTGGATTCCTGATGATACAGTAAAATTAAAGCAATAATGTGGAAACTAAGTAACTAGTATCCTCTTTACCCTGCCAAGCCAGCTGTAACACTGAAAGTAATATGTGACACAGAAGGAAATTTCCATTTACACTGAAGACGAAAATATACGGGATATTATATCTGGGATCTCACTCATTTACTGTACAGAAACACCGGCGTTTAAAATGTAAAACTACACAAAAAAGTCTTTTTCATGACCGTTGCTCTCAAAGTTCAAATCGTTAAGTTGCAAAAAGATGACTATAGAGTACCACAGTCGTGTCGTCACGACGCCAGTTGGCGCCCTCTGTTGTCAACAGACTTGGTCAGCATTCATTACGCCTGAATGACTTCATAGGCTTTCTGGAATAGGCATTTTAAAATCTATTATTTTACCATCAAAATTTACTTTTAAAAAAAAGATCGCATTATTTTAGTTATCGAACACACAATCATCAATTAAAATTTACAAAGAAAAAATAAGATACAACATCTAAATAATTACGTTAGAAATTGGGATCAATGGTTTGTCAGTGGAGAAAATGGCGTCCGGTTGAACGCATTTTGCAACGATAGCAACGGAGTAGTATCACGTGGTATTGTGACGTAACACTAGTACTCTAATACTATTATAGTAATGAAATATTTACATCAATAAAGAAACAAGTAGAGTAAATATTTGGAGGAATATAGGCATAATTATTATTCACCACCAAAATTATATGGAAATAAATGAAGATTTTAATGTAAAATATTGTAATTCCTTATTTGTAATATGGGAGAAGTCTGATGCTCATCCTTTTATTTTAATCCAAAAAAAAAAAAATACTAGGAAGACCATTGCAAAATCCAAATTTGACAAGCAAAAAAAAAACAACACCACTATTTTGGACTTGTTCTTATCAACATTGGATTTTTTTTATGGTAGAGTTCCATTTCTTTTTTTATAGACCAGCCACCTTTCCTATTTATTCTATGACTTGTCACCAATGACAATTGTTAAAAAATACTAAATGCTTATGACCTCAATCCTTAAATGCCAAAAAATGTCACTCTAGAATTTTTTACATATACAGGTACTTTCAAAAAGGCCCTTCTTAAAAAAAAGGTTTCATTCAAACCCCACCCCTCCCTGGCAAGGGGCCTGATTTCCTTCAAATAAAAATATTTCAGTATTATTGCATTTATTTTCATTTTAATTGGTGCAATTAATGACTTATATTGAATGTAAAAAGGGGTGTGTACAGCATCAGTCTAAACTGTACCAGCTGAATATAGTCACATCAATTTATTTTTAGACCAAGTCTTTATTCAGTGAACATACATGATTATCTAATTTTGTATAGTTCCTATATTATTATTAATATTATCGCATTAATTTTCATTTTAATTGATGCAATTAATGACTTACATTACTGGTTGCTCTAGTTTCACGTGCACTCTAAATGTCAAATGAATGTAAAAAGGGTGTGTACAATATCAGCCTTTCTGTACCAGCTGTACATACAGCTGTATATAGTCACATCAATTCATGTTTAGACCTAGCCTTTATTCAGTGAAGCAATAACCACTACCAGTGGCCTACTGTAGGCTAGCCCTAGTTTTATGAGTTCAGTTGACTGTCAAATCATCAGTTCCCATTGTAAGTGTGTTCGGAATATAAAGTGTGTATTCATAGCATTCAAAATACACCATTGTATTAGTATAGGCCTAGTGTGTACGATAAACAATAGTCCATTTATATCATCTTTAACAGACAGGGGTCATTTTGAATCAACTATTTATAATGGGCCACAATTACTGATAAAATTTCTCGGATACCACATCATTTCACGCATGCATACAGAAGAGGGACCAGCCCAGATCATCGCCAGCGACGGTCCAGGGTCGCTGGTTGGAAGCATAGGATGAGATGGTGTCAATTTTAACCTGGTTATTTCACACTAATCCAATATTATTTATGAGACACGAAAAATTGCATACACACCTCTGTAACTGCCTCTCTTCTAATACGACATTTCTATATTCTATCACTTGGCATTTTCTACGAATTTGATGATTTTTAGGTCCGAAGAGGGATGACATTTCTCCCAGATGGGACCGCCCGGCCAATCATTCCAATTCCAATGTTTTGACGAAATGAACTGTGGGCAAGTTAGTACGGTTTTGTCAGATTGAGAGACAGTAAATCGCAAATATAAATATTTTTTATTTAAAATAAGTTGAGAATGAACTTCTTTTGAAATATTTATTTATACCATTACTTAAAGTGAATGCAATATCATTTTGTTTACATTTATAACAACATTTTTATGAACAATAATTAGAAGTAGCCATAGTTTTACCTGTTTGTATAATGCAATCTTCCAAGATGTCCGCCTTCACATGACGGTGGTACTCAAGACAGTTCATGCAAAATTTTCTATTATTTCTGCAAAATGCAAACCGAAAATGCTTCTAGAATTGAAGCAGACAGGATAAGAAGTAAAAGAAACCCAGGATATGCTGACCAAACAGGGAAAAAACTAGCCAATTTTGACAATAATCCTTGCCTTGAGGTCGGTATTGTATGATTCATGAAAGACCAGCAACATGAATATTGATAAATTACGTAACCATCCAATTGTATTGTAATAGTACAGTATTGTATTGTAAAACTGAAGTAGGCCAACCGGTACCCACTGTCGCTAGATACTATAGGCGGTTAGGTAGGCCTCACTGTAGTAGCTAGAGGTAGAAGAGGAGGCGATGGCTGGTCTGGCCTAGCCTTAGATTTAGGCAATGCTTTTTTGGTTATGTTATGGGCCAGGCAAATTGGGTCCTTTTGGTCCAAAGGGTCTTTGATCCGAGGTCCATGGTCGCACGTAGGGTCTTGGTCCAAAAAGTCTTTGGTCCGAAGATCCAAATTTTAGTGACCTGGTTTTCTGGGAATGTAAGTAAGTTATACATTTTTAAATCGTGTATTAATCACCGCCAGTTTTTCCTTATAAAAAAATAGCAAATATTAAAACCACTCATCAAAAAAGGCAGGACAAACAAATAACAAAAGATGATGTATGGTAAGGATGGCCCATTAAGTTTTTCTTTTTTTTAAAAAAAGTAAAACTTATTTCCAATGGTGTCCTGCATAAAACCAATTAAAAAATATGAATGTACCATACAACACTGCTTTCGTGAGTGATTCTTTATTTTACATGATACATTGCGTATTTAAATAAGATCATAAAATGTAAGATCTTTTATATGACCAACGTTTACAATTATTATGTGATCTAGGCCTATACTTTTCTCCATATATATTTTCAGTTTTTCATTCAACAACCAATAATTGTATGCAGTGGTAGTCCCTATCATGTGTTTTTTTCAATCATATTTTTCTCTATATTTGAAATATATTTACTTCGGACCAACAGACCTTCGGATTAAAGACCCTTCGGACCAAAAGAACTAGTGTGCTTTGCCTTTGTTACGGTGAAGAAATGGCACTTTATAAATCACCTTTTTATTTAACAGTAACAATATTTTATTGTTTTTTTCTTATATTCATTAATTAAAGCCATAGTTTAGAAGTTTGTGCATTAGTTTCTCCAGCAATGAATACAATTGACCATGGTGGCTACAACAAGCTTGTTTGCTTTAATACTGAGGGCAGCATTCAGTGGTGAGGTAACCATGCGGCATTTGTTGTATGCTGATTTGAGCAGTAACTTTGTGGCGACAGGTGTATTACCCCAGGGGCGAATATAAACTAAAGACATTCAGACCCCTGGAACTTAAAATTCACCAGATGGTAATGTGCGCCCCACCCCCTGGTTTCAATATAAACATTCCTATGTTATTATTAATATTATCACATTCATTTTAATTTTAATTGATGGAATTAATGACTTTTATTACTGGATACCCTGGTTTCATGTGCACTCTCTAAATGTTAAATTAATGTACAGTAGTACAGTGTTAACTGTACCAGCTGTATATAGTTCCATCAATTTATTTTTAGACCAAGTCTTTAATATTCAGTGAACATACATGATTATTTAATTTTTTTTTATAGTTATATTATTATTAATATTATCGCATTAATTTTCATTTTAATTGATGCAATTAATGACTTACATTACTGGGTGCTCTAGTTTCACGTGCACTCTAAATGTTAAATGAATGTAAAAGGGGTGTGTACATCATTATCCTTAGCTGTACCAGCTGTATGTACAGCTGTATATAGTCACATCATCATCATTTTTAGACCTAGCCTTTATTCAGTGAAGCAAGATACTGTATTTACTCGTCCTTTCGACGGGGAATCCTGGCCCCCCCCCCTCTCGCTGGTGCCACCCGTATTTTCCCCTATTAACTCCAGTCATTTAAACAGCGCTAATGGGAATCCCCTGTTGTTCATCGTATTTATAGGGACGGCCAAAAAAAAAAGGTGATGGGAATTTATCCAGGTACAGTAAGTATCCACTCATAGACTACCAACATTACCATTGATTTGTGTAATTTTTAATGCAAATATTTAAAAATGTCAGCTGAGCTACTGATTCAATACCCTTGGGCCTATGCTCGAGGAAACACTTGTACATGAATAGAGATATAAAGTAGAAATTTGGCTTATACCTAGGGTGGTCTTTTTCATGCACAGATCCATCAGGGGCAGATCCAGAGATGTCCAAAACAGGGGGGGGGGCATCAAGATAATACTACCATAGGGGGTTGGAGGGCATGCTGCCCCAAATTTTTTGCGTTCTGGACACCCGAAAATAAACTCTGAGGTGTTTTGGGTGATCAATTTTTTCTTTCTCTTTCTTTCCTCCTTGTTTTTTTTCTTTACCTTCCAAAATAGGGGGAGGGGCCGCCCCTCAAAGCCCCCAAATTGGGCCCCCCCTGTCCATTATGTGCATGAGACCAACAGCAAACTTCCAATCCATAGGACCATGGTTTTTCCCTGCACCAGCAATGGTAGCACTCTCTACATCACCCTCTATATTACAATTGCGGAATAGTTCGACCTTCACTGACGTTGAGTTTATTTTCATGTTATTCTCTTTTTACTTCATAATTTTCTTTATTATGATTTTTTTTGTCATGTTTATTTGCTTTGTAATTTTTTTATGATTTTTTTTTTCTAAAGCGAAAAAAAACCCCCAATTCTGAATGAATTAGAAAAAGATCTAACAGAAGTTGTATAACAAAGTAAAAATATAATATGACAGATTAATGTGGCGAATGGATAATTTTAGTTATAAAATGTGACTGTGTATGGAAGTGGACCAAAGGTTCTTAGGATTAGAAGGCAAGCAATATTCTTTATTTATTTATTTTTTATTTCAAAAAACCAAATCCAACAGCAACCACTTGCCAATAACAGGATGTCTTAGAATACTTACAAGCATATAAATAATATAATATTTTCAACCATTAATTCCAGTGGAGGATCCAGAGAAAAATCCAGGTAGGGGGGGGGCATGCAATGTGTGAAGTAAAAAGCTGGGTGTTTGGTATTTCAATTTAGAAATGCCTGGCAATTGACTTGGATTTAAATAGAAAAATTAGCTTGTTTTGGAGTACCATGCTTACCTCTTTCTCCTTTCTTTTCTTTTCTACTATATTCTTTTTGTAGGGTATTAGGCATAGCCCCCTGGATCTGCCCCTGATTGATTTATGATGGGATTTAAATTTTATTGGAAGGGAGATGTCTGTCATCGTCAAGCTGCAATTTCTTTGATTGGAATCAATGATTTATATATGATACCTTGTCTTGTATTAAGTGAACATGATATAATACAGACGGGCCTCTTCAACCACCAACAACTCTATTAGATTGGGCTCTAATTTATTATTTGAACATTTTTTTATATTTGAAAGTAGGTGTCGTAACCACCAACCTTCAACTCCTTCAAATGTGGTTCCAATTTTATTGAATTTAATGTTATATTGGAAAGGAGACAATCAAATTTAATTACCAGGCTAACTAACATTTCCTTTTATTATCGTCTGTAAATTGTTAATTTTTTCACCACATCCTTAACCAAGTTTCATCACAGTTCATGCTATTCCTTAAAATGTTACATGGCTAAATATGGTCATGATGACATCATATCATGACCATATATAGGCACATCATGACTATATATGAGCATACAACATATATGAGCATATAAAATTTGATGGTGTGGGCTGAGCTTTAAACTGTACCTGTAACTTCTAACCCAATTAATTGCCTTCTCATAGTTCATGTTTATAAATATTATAGTGGACATATTGTTTATATTAATTTAAGTGAGAACAGACTGTATCGGCCCAGTATCTGTCAGTGAGTGGTATGGACTTGCCAGATGCGGATATGATATCAAATACGCAAGCTAGCATTAGTTTGTAGGATGTACCGCAGTGAGTCAGATTTCGTTAATGGGATTAATTTATACCACTGCCAAAAATAAACAGTTTGGTAACATGACAATGTTTTTAATTGTTCCAAGATTTTGCCCCATAAACAACTACATAATGATGATTGTGATAATATAATAATAATTATTATTATTTAATGATGTTAGGTAATAATCGTTTTTAATATTAATAGTTTATAATTTAAAATAAAAATTTGATTTTCATGATTAACAGCAACTTAATAAAATGATGACATAAAAATATATTTTGTTACAGAACAGGGATGTGTTTTTTACCTATTCTAAAGCTAATTTCATAGCCCTCCATTCACCTTTATTAACTCCCTTGCCCATCCTTAAAATCCACTGTTATGACCCACTGACCTTAAAATGTCTAGCAACCACCCCTGTTTTCTACAGCTACAAACATTCTGAAGAATGAAAACAGTAAATTGATATTGGTAATAATTTTCTTTGTACCAGTATTACTTGTACAGTGTTGTAGTTTTTACAATATTTTTTTTACAGTTGATGGAGTATATAATTCTGATTATCTCACAGTTGCATGTACCAGTATAGGAAATATATTTATTTTGACAGTTTTTGTGAGGGTGGTGTATCATTCTGAAGCTGATTATTTTGTATACATACATAATGAATAACAAAAAGTCAAATTCAATAAACCTATAACTTAACTTATGAATTATAGTATAAGTTAATTAGATTTTAAAATTTGAATGATTGAAATAGGTACTGTATAACCCCCATGTAAAATTATTAATATTAAAAGTAGCAACCAAAGGATTAAAAACTCCAAGATGTTGTACCACCCAAAAATAGAGGAAAAATAATAGAACTGCTCCAGATAAATTATAAACCCGTAATATATGGAATAACAATTTAAAAAAAAACGTAATTGGCTATAAAAACCTTTTAATTTGATTCCAGATATTAACAGGTATGCAAAACTTATTTAAAAGCTTTTTTTTTAAATATACATACAAAGCAAGTTAATTGTTTTATGCTTTGCCCATAATCCAGCTCTCCATTGGAAGCTCTCTGACAGACAGCTTTCCCCACCCACTGAATAATTCTACAGGCACCACTTCTGTGGAGTACTTTTGTTACCTCTATGGTTACACTGTATTCAGGCATACAGATACTGTACAGAATTATCTGGAAAAATTTAGTCAATTGTTTAATTTTTTTTCTGTGCCCTTTAGTCATTGGAAATTTTTTAATTTTGTGGAATGCAATTTCCACGTACCGTACAAATTCGCCCGGTTTTATTGAAACTACAAACTTGCTGAATTCCAAAGATTTAACCATTAATGACTGTCTTATTTTACGGATAGATGGATGAATGAATTCCCAATTAATTTCTCACATTAGTTCTACAAATAATTAAGTTAGATAAAATGTGCTTGTGAAAATCAAATTTAGGCTAGTTGTCTTGGAAACATCAAGGGACTATATATGAGCATACAACATATATGAGCATATAAAATTTGATGGTGTGGGCTGAGCTTTAAACTGTACCTGTAACTTCTAACCCAATTAATTGCCTTCTCATAGTTCATGTTTATAAATATTATAGTGGACATATTGTTTATATTAATTTAAGTGAGAACAGACTGTATCGGCCCAGTATCTGTCAGTGAGTGGTATGGACTTGCCAGATGCGGATATGATATCAAATACGCAAGCTAGCATTAGTTTGTAGGATGTACCGCAGTGAGTCAGATTTCGTTAATGGGATTAATTTATACCACTGCCAAAAATAAACAGTTTGGTAACATGACAATGTTTTTAATTGTTCCAAGATTTTGCCCCATAGACAACTACATAATGATGATTGTGATAATATAATAATAATTATTATTATTTAATGATGTTAGGTAATAATCGTTTTTAATATTAATAGTTTATAATTTAAAATAAAAATTTGATTTTCATGATTAACAGCAACTTAATAAAATGATGACATAAAAATATATTTTGTTACAGAACAGGGATGTGTTTTTTACCTATTCTAAAGCTAATTTCATAGCCCTCCATTCACCTTTATTAACTCCCTTGCCCATCCTTAAAATCCACTGTTATGACCCACTGACCTTAAAATGTCTAGCAACCACCCCTGTTTTCTACAGCTACAAACATTCTGAAGAATGAAAACAGTAAATTGTTATTAGTAATAATTTTCTTTGTACCAGTATTACTTGTACAGTGTTGTAGTTTTTACAATATTTTTTTACAGTTGAGTATATAATTCTGATTATCTCACAGTTGCATGTACCAGTATAGGAAATATATTTATTTTGACAGTTTTTGTGAGGGTGGTGTATCATTCTGAAGCTGATTATTTTATATACATACATAATGAATAACAAAAAGTCAAATTCAATAAACCTATAACTTAACTTATGAATTATAGTATAAGTTAATTAGATTTAAAAATTTGAATGATTGAAATAGATACTGTATAACCCCCATGTAAAATTATTAATATTAAAAGTAGCAACCAAAGGATTAAAAACTCCCAAGATGTTGTACCACTCAAAAATAGAGGAAAAATAATAGAACTGCTCCAGATAAATTATAAACTCGTAATATATGGAATAACAATTTAAAAAAAAAAAAAATGTAATTGGCTATAAAAACCTTTTAATTTGATTCCAGATATTAACAGGTATGCAAAACTTATTTAAAAGCTTTTTTTTTTTAAATATACATACAAAGCAAGTTAATTGTTTTATACTTTGCCCATAATCCAGCTCTCCATTGGAAGCTCTCTGACAGACAGCTTTCCTTACCCCCTGAATAACTCTACAGGCAACACTTCTGTGGAGTACTTTTGTTACCTCTATGGTTACACTGTATTCAGGCATACAGATACTGTACAGAATTATCTGGAAAAATTTAATCAATTGTTTAATTTTTTTTCTGTGCCCTTTAGTCATTGGAAATTTTTTAATTTTGTGGAATGCAATTTCCGCGTACCGTACAAATTCGCCCGATTTTATTGAAACTACAAACTTGCTAAATTCCAAAGATTTAACCATTAATGACTGTCTTATTTTACGGATAGATGGATGAATGAATTAACAATTTATTTCTCACATTAGTTCTACAAATAATTAAGTTAGATAAAATGTGCTTGTGAAAATCAAATTAATAGGCTAGTTGTCTTGGAAACATCAAGGATTTTATTGCCAGTAAAAAACCTGTAATTCAACAAATGGCTTCCATATTTGACAATATGACCTCCAACTTGAAATATTTATTAAAAGGAAGATATTTTGAAATGTCTTGAATCATAAATATCAAGATGATGCCAACTACGAACAAAATATCAAAGTGATAGAATGATTTCTTTTTTTATACTTTTTCATATAGAGAAATCATAGTATATATAGAATGTTAATTTGAATGTACTATATACCCCACTATAGCAAAGGGGACTTCCCTCCAAACCATTCCCTCATACAATGAATCAAGGTCGTGGGTTTGTCCTTGGGCTTCCTGGCAAAAGCCTCCTGAATCTGCCTGTCTCATTCCCAGTGGCAGCGCTAGGATTTCCCCGATAGCAAAGCAACGCTCCTGATAGCAAGGCAACGCCCCCGACAGGCAGGGCAAGAGTTGTACTTTGGCACGTAGCGCCACCAGCAGGGGGGGGAGACTAGAAAAAAATGTTTAGCCCCTCCTAATCCCCCCCCCCAATAGCGCAACCACTGCTCAATCCCTACGACTGAACCACCTTTTTGTTGATTGTTATTATATGCTACTGTGTTAAAATTATGTTGTATTAATTTAGTGGACTATACTCTACTTTTGGGCATATGACTGCCACTATTGACTGTTTGGGTGTCATTCTTCATATAACATTCAAAACCTTACCTGAGTGCGAAACTTATTAAACATTATTTGCGAGCCTCATTTTTCTTTAAACACTGTGTGCGAGACTCATTTATATATCCTTTTTCACCATTTAAGATTAGTTGTGAGTCTCAACACTATACTTTGGCCTATGTGTCAAATCCTTCGGTGCAAAGTCTCCTTCTTCAGTTACCGTTTTTGTATTTTCCAGTCTGCAGCCAGTTACATTTCTGCAAGCCTCATTTAGACAGCTCCCTTCCACTTTTTCACCTAGTGGTAGATTACTATTGTACATCCCCATCCACCCCCACCTTTTCTCTTCTATTGTTGTCTATGTATTTTTTGGATGTTGTCGCATCTTAATGATTTATTATCTGTCATCTGTGTCATCTGATGCCAATAATAGTATTTTCTAGGTTGATTGTGTTAGTGCAAATTAAAAAGTATCACTTTGTTTGAATTAATGATATACATGGGGCAGGAACAGACTATCATCCTCTAATTCGCTCTGAATGTCACAATGTCCCCTTTTTCTTGTCTACAGGAAGCCGATGCCTCATACCGTTGTCTCCATGAAAATAATTTTGATCGCGATTCATGTACGAAGTATTTCCTGAATTATAAAAATTGCCGCAAATTTTGGGTAAGTATTTTTATAAAATATTTACCAATAGTTTATTTGAAAAAAATACTAATGTACCAATATTTGTTAAAAATGTTAAAATGAATACCGACTAACTGGTAACTTCAGATGCTATGAATGCATTTAAACTAGTGCATATACAAAAAAGCTGGATGTTTTGTGTGTATGCCACACCTATCCAATTTACATTCCATTATTAATATTTTTGGAATATGAAATGTTGGAGTGAGATTACAGGATGGTATTATGAAGACAGTACCATTCATAACTTGGTGCACAACTCGGTTCAAATCAAATAATGAATTAGAGGCTTCCTGCCTTACTCAGACGCTAGCCAGCTAATTATTACGTTGCCTTGACCTTATTAGAGGCGCGATCTCCAAGAAGTACGATAGTTGGCTAATAAATAGTAATTTGTCATCAATACAAGATTAGATTTGCGTCCCAAGCAGCCTGTAGCGCATAATGTTTGATAGGGATCTAGGCTGAAGGCAACGTCAGCTAATCAACTGCGAGAGGAAACTTTCAGGCAAACTTTTCAAGGCGCACACAGTGATTGAAAACTTCCACTTTTTCTTTCATGGCCACTTGCCACACCATGTCACCTTCTTGCACCATTTTAATTATACATTTTAATTTACATAATTTAAATTAACACAAGGTAGAAACATGTGGTATCTTATTAATACCATGCTCTACAAATTTAATACCGTGCTTTACCATTTTAATACCATGCTCAAACATTTATAATACCAAGTAGTTTAATAAAACCATGGTGCACAGTGGGGTGCACAATTAATACTTTGTACCATAAGTTCTACAATTTTAATATAGTACCACATTGCACCAACAATATGTACCATAGTTCAACCATTTCAATATAGTACAATATTGTACCATATTAATACCACATTGTACAATAATATGGTATAATGTGTATTTATGTTAAAATACATTGCAACATAGTACACCAAATTAATACCATGTTACATCATATCAATACCACAGCATACTATCAGAAAAAAATCCCACAAGTTACCTTAAGAAGATTATGGTAGGACAAATTACCCAAATGAAGATTAACTCCTTATGCAAATTCTGGTTTTGTTACACCTTTATTGATATTATTATTAGATTCTGAAAAAAGCAACTTTTTGCATGACTTGGTGACTGAGGGGGAGCCGAAATAGGGTGAAATTAGGTGATTTTTAACTATCTGAGCGTAATTTTTTGCTCAACAATCTTCAGTGGGAAGGGGGAGAAACTTGGGGTGCAAGTTTCTTTTGGAAGGGTGTGGGTACCCCATAGAAATGCAGAATCTCACTTTGATGAATGTGTTCTACCATGTGTTTGTCCATACCACAGAATATATGATGAGCCATAGTACTAACAGTAGTAGTCTCATTGAATTAATATAACACAAACGATTTCATTTGTTTTGACATTGCACTGTCAATTGGGCAGGTAGTGATTAAGTCAGAGGCATAGTATACCATGTTGTACCACTTTTATAGGCCTATCATTCATTCCGTATTACATGTTGTACCACTTTTATAGGCCTATCATTCATTCCGTATTACATGTTGAACCACTTTTAAAGGCCTATCATTCATTCCGTATTATTGTCAGGGTAGCAATTGACAAATTTAATATCGATCATCATTAACAAAATTTACCCCCATTGTTTCATTTTCAAGCTGATACCATATTGTTTTTTGGCGTGTTTTTTGGCATTTTACAGCAGGGGCAGATTGCTATAAAACGATCTTAATTGGTAGTCTTATCTCCTTGAATAAAGCCGGCTTTATCACATAGACGGTCTTATTAAAGTCACTCTGCAAAGACCATTGCTATAAAACAGTCTTTGCTTATTAACCACTTTGAGTTTTGAAATGCCAACAAGCACTCACTGGTAATACAAAATTTAGGACGCTCCGAGTAGGCTTAAACTTTAAGACAGCAAACTGGTTAGACCACGGTATAGCAATAGTCTATAGTCATAGACAGATAGTGACGTCGCAATTATAGCCCGCTAAGCGTTAAGACCGTCTAAAGACCGCTTATAGCAATCCACCCCAGAAAATTCTATGCAAATGGAATATAAATTAATTTTTAAAATACCATTTTGTACCATCTTCTATGATATTGTACCAATTGGCATAATTACACCATGTCAAAAACCAAATTGCAAGTGTAAAATTGATGGTCTTATTTCAACTTTACTTTGTAACTGTTAGATGAGAACGAAATTAACTAAAAATTATTAAATTGATGAATGAATTTTATTTTAGCTGAAATAATTTCATTGATGAGAATGTTAAAAGTAGATAAATAGTTTTAGATAGTTGTTAATATTTAAGTACTTGTTCTTTGGTTAGAATTCATAATAAACTATTGTAATCCATAACCTACGTCATGGTATTATTCAAAACTCTCACAAAAATAATCAGTTATTTAATCAATCAATCAATCAATCAGTCTGTTGATTATTCAATCAAACATTCAATTCAATCAGTCAATTAGTGAATCAGTCAGTTAATCAGTTCAATCAATTAATCAGTTAATTATTCAAATAATCAGTTAAACTTTCAATTGTTTTACTCTGAATATTTTTACAAAACATCGTATTTCAATACTGAACAACAGGGTGTGACAGTATACAGAGAGACCTATAAATTGCTGTGTTTGCAGCTATTCTTTGACAAGCATTTGAATTACAGACTTATCAACAGACAGACATTAACCAGAAAACAAAAGAATAGATGAAAAACAGATGATAATTTTTTTTAAACCAGCTGGCAAGAAACATTCTATAGGGGTTGGGGGTGGACAATTGACCCAGCCATTGGAAACATTTTCTAAGACAATTAACCTGAGAGTTCCATTTTTGGGCATCTAGAAGCGACAAAGGCTAAATTTTTTCATCTCAACCTCACTCTTCCCTACCATAATGGGGGCTGATGTGTGTGTATTTGCCTATCTTTCAAAAAGGACCATCTGTCAGGAAATGCTGATACCATAGCTATCTGGAGGTAGAAATTAATAGAACCTATGTTTACTGGAATGTTTTGCCACTGATGACATGAACACTTACTGTACATTATAACCAGTTTAATTTAAAGTGATTTTTTTTTTCAAATTACATATTGCATCACTGCTATTGTTTTGCATTGAAGCTGTCAATTTTTGGTTAAGATGCACACCTTCCTATTAAACCTAAAGGACTTTGGATCAATGCAATCTTTACAAATTTGCAATTTCATCTCACAAATAAAAAAATCTCCATTCATTCCACCCTTCCTCGCTTCCTTCTTAAACAGGCAGTTCACCTCCCAATTTAGTCCACTTCTTTCTTAATTCCAAAAGTACTCTTATTACACGAGCTGCATATGAACATAGAGCCCAACCACCAATTCTCAAATCATCTAATTCAGGACTTAGGACCTTTATTTTGCACCAAAATTGTACAATATTTATTTATTGTATTTTAAGGAAGAGTTAATTCTTCATAGATATTTATGGTTTCACCTCTTAATTTGATATACCGTAGTTTTGTTCTTGATGCAACCATTCAATAGCTGCAAAACTATCCTCAATGAAAACATACAGTATAGTGCCTAGCTCTCCATGCCGTAGTCAGCCTCTCTTATATCTACCACTGAAATTAGTCTTTCCTAGAATCCTAATGCACTTGCTTATTCAAATCACTTCCTCTACAGTGTCACAAAAATAAGAGTTGTCACTGCCACTTTACTCAGCTTTGCTATACTTCAGCTCTACTTTTTACGTGTTTAGAAAACACTGTTTAGCTGCTGTCTCCATTTAATAGTTTTATTATAGATTACTCTATGATTACTGGTATGCTTTTTGAGGCCACTATTGGCCGATCGTCTCCATTTACAGATTTTAATTATCAGAGACTGAATTCCAAGACCACACCATGATTTTTAGAGTGGTCTCAAATTGGACGGGTGAACTGTAATTATATGAGGCTTTAGCACCCAATCCGCCTAAAAAAAAAAAAGTGAGCACTCATGGCGCCTTATACACAGGAAGGATGATTCAAAGACTGCAATGAAATCCATTTTGACAGAGAAATATAAACAAACAATGGAAAAGCGAACAACGCTCGGCTAGGTAACAAGCCCTGGATTAATTGTAATCCCCCCCCCCCCCAAAATGCTTGGCATTAAAGGCT